CGGCAAAAAAAAACCCGTGCGTCCAAAAAAAAAAAAAAAAAAGGTACTTTCACTTTTTTTTGCGAATGCCGCGCAGATGTAACCCCATTTAAATCAATGGGGCTGCGCAGGAATCACTGTGTGCACTAGCACACGATCGAGCGCGTTCCAGGTGTCGCGCAGGTCTGAACCAAGCCTTAGAAGCTGGAAGACGGTGTGCCAGGTAAGGTAGTTGAAGGGCAGCAATGGACAGACTTCCGCCCCTGGCTCTCAGGATGAAGACATGAATATGCACATTTATAAGACAGAATGTATTGTCGCAATTCTCGGCTCTTCCTGTTACGTTGATGACATCATCATCCATCACAAATTCCTGTTCTGAGGGGGAAGTTTCATAGGAATACATTACCAATCCAGAGATATACGCATTATGAATAAACTATATTCTTCCTACAATTCTGTGTAGTTGTCTAACTTTCAGTGTCACAATGAAACCCATTTTATGTGATTGAACAAACATCCTAAAATTCAGCTTATTCACTTGGGACTCCTCAACATTGCAGGGGTATCCTCTCCCCATACTAGACACTGCAGGGGTATCCTCTCCCCATACTAGACACTGCAGGGGTACCCTGTCCCAATACTAGACGCTGCAGGGGTATTATGTCCCAATACTAGACGCCGTCTCGACATTAAACCCTGTTGGGGTATCCTGTACTGACACTACACTACAGACAGGATAACCCAGTAGTGTTTAAAGTCCAGATCATAATGGAAGTGCCGTCATTTTAAGCAAGCCGCCAGCAGAGTTCTGAGTAAGCTTGAACACTGCTTCACACTTGAAGTCCTCTATTATCTGTAATATCCCCAAATGGAGCTGAAGATACCTCTAACCATCCTGTGCTGTAACCTGAGGCTTATTTTGTAGGGGATACAGGTCCGCCCTATCTGTGCCATGCGTGTACTTTACGTTATGTCCACACTATGTATAGATCTGCAGGAGAGCATGATGAGAAGAGAATGACATTTATTAGATTTGACCGTCCTGGTCATTGATTGTACATGGGAGGTCTCTTGCTGTAGCACACATTATGCTTCATGATGGGGTCCCCGACTGGCATTTTCACTTTGCACCACTTAAGTCCTTTCTTGTAGATTGGCCGAGCGCTGGACACAGACCAGCGAGTCAGATACCTGCAGGGGGGGGAGAATTCCACACAGACATTAATATACACTGTATAATATAGTGCAATGGGTGAGGATGATAACAGTCCAGTAGAAGGGACGCTGGACCGGGCCAATCAAACTGAATGCATAATGAAAAATCTGCAGTGAAAAACCACATAACAAACCCATCTAGTCACAAGCAAACCTCCACTTCCCCTGTAAGGGCCAAGTTGACTCCACTACTAACAAAGTCTTCCTATTGGTTCTTTAATGTGATGGGTAGACTCTGAGACCTGCAGAGAAACTCATGGGACGGAGCCAAGCTCGGCCTCTACAGGAAACGTTCCGATCGGCATATGACGTCATCTGCATGTAACTGGATCAGCGGACTGACAAAATCTACGACGTTTGAGTTACCCATGTCTGTGATACCTGATAAATTCTGGTAAAGATCCATAAAGACAAGGTCTGACCAGTTTGGTGTCCTACACAGAGCCCTGACCTCAACCCTACTGAACACCTTTGGGATGAACTGGAATTGTGATCCAGGTCTTCTCATCCAACATCCGTACCTGACCTCACAAATAGGTACACACTCCAAAATCTTATGAAATGTGGAAGGATGCCAATGGTTTGGGAATGGGACGTCCACCAAGCTGATACTGATGTGATGGCCATGGGTCCACAGGCTCTTGGTCATACAGTGTAGCTTTACATTAAACCAATGTCACTATCACAGAGTTTGGATCAGCTTTTGTATTCGGTAAATATAAGTTGCTCTGGGGAACCCCAAACAATGGTGTGAATTCTGGTAGAAGTCTACCCATATTAAATACTTAATTATGTGGAAGAGAACATGGCAAAAGCACCACCTCGTCCCGTGGCTGAAAAGAGACAGAGAGAAGGGGCGTGGAAGGGGGGTGGGGAGGAGGAGTGGAGAGGAGACAGGAAGTACGGGCTGAGAGGAAAAGTGGGGAAGGGACAGTGTGGAGGAAGAGTGGAGAAGGGAGAGGAAGTAGGGGCTGAGAGGAGGAGTGGAGAAGGGATAGAGTGGAGGGGCTGAGAGAGGGGTGTGAAGGGACAGGAAGTAGGGGCTGAGAGAGGAGTGGGGAAGGGATAGAGTGGAGGGGCTGAGAGAGCGGTGTGAAGGGACAGGAAGTAGGGGCTGAGAGGAGGAGTGGGGAAGGGATAGAGTGGAGGGGCTGAGAGAGGGGTGTGAAGGGACAGGAAGTAGGGGCTGAGAG